CAAATCGTTAGAAGAGAAGCCTAACAGAATTACAGAAACCGGTAAATAGGTGAACATTGAAACGACGTCGATTCAAAATTTCTGATTTTGAAACAACGTTTTGATTTGGAATAACAAAACAATCCGATTTCAATTTGTGTCCAAAAGAAATAGATCTTAATTGGAATAGATATGAGGTTCTGATTTTCGGTTCCATATTCAAAAGTTACACTAAATATAAATATGATTTTGTTACACATAAGTAAAAGATGGAACTTTCGATTTCAGTCGATTCCGATAAAAAAAAAAATTAATTTTTTTAAACACTTTCAAAATTCCGAAAAAAAAATTCAATTTAAGTGATTTTTTGACCGAGTTGGATCTACTTTTCTATTTTTGAGGAAAAAAATGGAAGTTATCTTAAAATGCTAATTACGTTGTGATCCGTTCGGTTTCCACTACCAATATGTGGTTGGTTAAAGTTATTTAGTATGAAACGTATACGTAGATACAGCTATATCTTTTATATAAGCTGACTCGACAAGGGGATTCAAATTTGATCACTTGACACGCGCTCATTTACTCCAATCGTTAGACCGTCACTTCCAGAGAGACTATTATTATTATTATTATTTAATATAATAAAAGAAATGCCAGTTGGAGGCTTAGCGGTAAATTAAATAAACGTGAAATGCACGTATAGTAAGGTGGAGCTGCCAAACAGAGGGATGAAAGCTTATTAGTCCAGAATTTAGATGATAATCATTGCAATTAGTTAGAGGATAAAAAGAAATATTTCCCTAACTATTTGAAGCAAACCCTCTCATCTAAATCATAATCATCACATTATTTACTTTGGTACCACAACTCTAACTAATTGTATATGGACATCCTCAATATCCAACCCACCAAACTATTTTTGACTTGTCGGGTCGCCTATGTACAGTCAACACGGAAACGGCAATACGAGACAGTGTACGAGAAAACGACGTATCCAAAAAAAGGGGATACAGGAACTTGAGTTATAAATATGATATATAAACATGTATAAAGTTTTTATATATTTTCATACAAACATATTCATAATAAATTTTATTGACAAATATCAATTTGCCGTATGTTGATGATTAAATTATGTAAATTATTAGAGAAACAATAAAAATATTTGAAAAATTTCTATTCAAACATGTTTTTAACTTTTAAGAAATTGCAAAATGGCTCATAAGGTGTCCTGCATGTATCCTCAAATCTTGGACACATAATGTATCCAAAACGCGAAACATTAAGAAGTTGAAATTTCCGTGTTACATAGCTTGTCGCTCATTGTATTTGAATCTGAGGAGCATAGGAGCGTCTGCTCAGCGCTTGTGAATCGAACATATTACAATTTCTTACTATTTAGTGAATTGAACCTAACAGTTGCAATCGAAATTCAGTGGTGTGCATAATTTATAAATAAAATTAAAAAAAACATTAAATAAAAGAATCAATGGTACAAACATCACACACACACATGAGTATATGTTGATTAATTGTATAAAATCATCAAGCATAGCATCTACAATTACAGAACATTGTAGAGCTGGATTGAATTTGATTTTTGGTTTGATATTTCATTACATAAATGTGGAAGCTACGACTTACAACATTAAATTATATTATCCACCAATAACGTAAAGAAAATAAATATTACTTACATTTGCAAAAATAAAAAATAAAAATAAAAACATTAAATAAAAGAATCAACAATTAGCGCTTTATAATATTTCAAACCGAAGAAGAAAGCGGTAAAAACGAAATTACAGCTGTTTGCTGTAACCCAATTCAAAAGAAGCGACCATGGATTTGTAGATCTCGAAAACCAGCCGGTTCTCGAACTCCGTCCTCGAGTACGCCATCGGAGCATCCCGAGATTTGGGGATCCTCTTCGCGCCGAAGACGCTGACGCCGTTAGCGGATCCGGAATTGCTGGCGAATCCGATCATCATGTTCATGTATGCGTTCTTCAATCTGTTCCACAGTTTTAACGGCGAGGCTAACCGGATTAGACGGAGTTTCGGCGCTAGCTTCATCCTCCACGACCGGTTTGAATTGGCGGCGCCGAACCTTACAACTTTCACGCTCCTTCGATTCGTCGGCGACAATTTGTTGTATCCTCTTCTCCTCCACCGCCTGCTCAGACTTCCACCAAATTGGATAATTTCCATTACTGCCTGAATATGAGAGAGAGAGAGAGAGAGAGAGAGAGAGAGAGAGAGAGAGAGAGAGAGAGAGAGAGAGAGAGAGAGGTGATGATGGAAGTGTGGCAAACTTTACACTGATTTTATAAGTGAGGGGGAAATAATATTCAGGTTATAAAATAAGTAATTAGTTATAATGTATAGGAGATAATTTCTAGGAAGCATCATAAACAAGAATATTCAATTTCTTATTCAAATTATTTTATTTGATATTGGTCAGAAAATTAAGAACATCAAGTTTGATATATTTGTGGTGCCACGTGGCACTTAAATGGATTATTATATTACGAATTTTCAACAAATAGAGATAAAAGAAGATTTATACGTTCAATAAAAAAGACATTTATAAATTTATAGTCAAATTATACATTGCTTATAATGAGAGTAGTCAATTGCCATTCTTCCCTGATTCTAGAACTAATTGTGCCCCCTTAATAGACCATGTGGAATATCCACTTGACTTGTCAATATATATATATATATATATATATATATATAGTTTTAATTACTATTTGAAAAGTTTTAAAATCTAATATTCAATAAATAATGTATGAAATTGACTAATATATATGGATCCTATATTCTTGGCCAAAGTACCAAGTCACTAGGAATGTTCATATATATTTTGAATAAAACATTGAACTCAAAACAATGCTTATATCTCTTCTTCTCTACACCAAAATATACCTTTTGGATTGCTATGACTATCAATCTATCATACATAGCGAAGACTTTTAGTCGTCCGACGACTTATAAATCATTACGTCTCTAAATTACACGTGCACAATAACGAACGGCAAATGTATTACCAACTCCATAAGCAAATTGCTCTAGTTTGGCTATGGAGGAGAGATCGGAAAAATATGAACGCAAGACATACATTTTATCAAATTAATTATCGATGTCAACAACCTTACTTCAAAGTTGGAACGTAAATTTCAATTACTGTTGGTTAAGACCCGAAAAGTTTCGATTCTGAAACCACCTTTTTAATTCCAAAATCCAAGATTCCAATTTCTGATTTTTTGGATTTTTTTTTAATTGGAATCATATGAAAAGTATGTGGAATTTCCGAATTCCAATCCAATTAAATTTCTGAAAAATGGACGTGTATATGTATATATCAAATATCAAAAAGGCCATTCTAAAGTAGCCCATATGTCACTGAAAACTGCAAAGCCCAGTCTATATTCTGGAATCAGTTAATTCCAGAGAGAAATTACTTAATTAACTTAATGGACCTTGTTAATTGAAAATGGGGTACAATAATTCAATTATTCCCAGTTTTATACAATTGGTTGATAGTTGATACATACTTCAAATGTTCCTTCAAAAAAAAAAAAAATACTTCAAATGTGAAACTTATAACCATCACAATTGTGCATCGGATAAACCTTATTCTCGTATAATAATCCGCAATTTCATTGATTTGCTCATGCCTCTATTTTAAAATGCTTATTTTTAAAAGTCATTTATTTAAATATTATACTTAATTAAAAAAAAAATGCACTCTATACTTAATAAACATTATTTATTGTAAATAATTTTTATATACAATAAAATTAACATTTAACGCCAATTTAAATAATATAAAATTATATTATGATTGAATTTCCTTGTAAATACACTCCACGAAAATCAGGGCATTATTATCTTATCCCTCGGCTTCGCCAATCAGTATCGACGAGAAAAGAAGAAAAAAAATGAAGGAAAAATCGATTCAAATCAACGGTTTCCACAAGACAGAATCGAGCGCTCTATGGAAGTGGAAGGGGATTGATTTCCAATCGACGAAGCCCCAAAGCAATCTATTTCCGGTGACTGAATTCTTCCACGAAACCAGCCGGAAGATAGACGACGTCGTTCTGGGACCCGGAGTAGGTGCCGGAGTAGGCTGCGGCGTCGGATTGGGACTCGGTGTGGTTGGCGGCGCCGGCTTAGGCGGCTCCGCGTGGAACCGTCTGTCGACGGTGTTTGGGATCGGAATTGGGTGCGGCGTCGGTATTGGAGTCGGGTACGGGCAGGGATTTGGGGCGGGGTTCGGGTTAGAAACCCTAAGATCTCATCTGTTGGATCCGAAACCGAAGTCGAAGAAGCGGATCCGGGTTCAGATTTGAATTTTTGTTTTCCTCTTGGGATTTTGCTTGTGCTTCCCTTGTTTATGCTTCCTTTATTAGGTTGTTAATTGCCCCATTTTGTGGGATATCACAGTTTAAATTAAGAAATTGGTGCATTTTTTTTAAGATGATCTTATATATGCTACACCCCGTAAATTACATTATGAGTATTAGTAGGAATTTATAAGAGCCGAGCTCGAGATCGCGTCTCGTCGAGTTGTTTCGTTTTTTGGCTCGAGCTCGAGCGCAAGCTCATTTTGTTGTTTTTTTTTTTGTTTTTAAATATTTATTTTGTTATTATTAAATATTATTTAAAAAATACAACATAAATAATAAATCGTAATTATATATATTTTTTAATAGGGTCAATTAGTGAGAACCCCCTCTAACATTATTTTAATGAGGATGGGTCCAACTCATTTTTCTTTAGGGTCTATTAGATATAACCCCCTTAAACATTCAAATAATAGGGGTAGACCCAAATTTATATTTGTCATTTTGATAACAGCCCAAACTTTTCCTAATTACATAATTACCCTCAATCAAATCCCACAAAACCCGTTACTTTACCTTTTGAAATAAAATCAAATCCCTTCCTATTTTCCCGTTAAATCACTATCATCCCAAACCCCACTATCGAATAAACTGCAAAACCTCCCAGAACAACTTCCCGGTGCGGCCGATTGAAAGGGGAAGACGTCTGCACTGCCGTGAAACGACGATTTTCGTGCACTCCGAGCAAGCTGCCGTAGGTACGTCGTCGCCACTCGCTGAATCGCTATCATCCATCGATTTGTTGATATGTTTTGGCTAAATCGACTATCACGTTTGTGTATTTGCAGATCTGTTATAATCGCATACCGCATTCGAGCACTAAATCAGTGATATTGCAACAATTGATGGGCAGGACATCCACCAGAAGTGATATCGTCGTTGGCCGCCGCCGTCGCCGTCACTGCTCCAATCTAGGGTTACTCAAATATATGATTACTCAAATCTAGGGTTTTGATAATTCTTCGGCCCATAGTTGATTAACGAGATGCATAGTCGAATTACATCTGTATTAATATACTATCCCATATCATTTAGTAGACTATCCCACTGGTATAATTTTACTATGGATCTCGTTAATCGACTATGGGCCGAAGAATCATCAAAACCCTAGATTTGAGAAGTGACGGCGGCGGATTTGTGTTTTAAAATTAATAGACTATCTCATATCTTTTAATAGACTATCCCATGTATCTAATTCGACTATGGGTTTAGTTAAATGACTATTGGAAAAATAATAATATATATGGAAACTGAATAATATGTTTGTTTGAAATACTAATCAATTAGGGTAATTTTCCTTATTATATGAAAACGATTAGGGTAAATAATGATATATATGAAAAAATAATAATATATATGGAAACTGAATAATATGTTTGTTTGAAATACTAATCAATTAGAATTTTCCTTATATCATGTATTAGACTATCTTATTCATCTAATTCGACTATGGATCTCGTTAATCGACTATGGATCCCGTATTATTCAACCACATAGTATATTAATAATTTCAATATAGTACATTGATCTGCTATGATAGTATATTACGGTTATAGTAGTGATATGAATTGTGTTACAAACAATATACAACTGAAATGACAAGAACATTGAGAACAACACCAACGTAAAGTATTCCAACATAACCAATAAAATAGTACATTAATAATCTCATAATTTCAATCTAGGGTTTTGATAAAATACATAAAACACATCATAACACAATAAAATCAATATGTCGAGTTAAAAAACTCTAGTACATTAATAATCTCATAATAGTATAATAAAATGATAATGGTAGTATCATACGATATTCATAATAGTATACTACTGTATTACAACGGTTTAAAACTTAACCGAAGTTACCGAGCCATTACATCGTAAACACCTCTTTATAGCAACCAACCCACCAAACCTCAACAAAATTCTTACGAAATTCGCCATCGAAAAAACCTAAAATCATGAAACAAAATTAAAAATGCAGAATACTAAAAAATGATTAAATAGACTGCAAATACATTTGAATGACAATACATTAATATCATCAAAAATAAACTTAAAATGCAAAATCCATACGCTAATTTAAAAAAGACTACGAACTATATTTTAATGTACTACCCAGCACACTTAAATCGGCTGTTATAAACAAATAAACCAACTATCGATCGGGATCAAAAACATGAACTCGACCACAGCGGACAATTATTCCGATTATTGCATAAACCAACTACGAAGCTCATATAAAACAACTCTGGTCCGATCTGCGTGAAGCATCCTCTTCTAACTCTGTCAATCATCTTTCAAACAAACATCATCCGCAAAAAATAACGATGTATATATGACGACGTAATTTTGTTAAAAAACGTTCTACTTCATAGAATCAAGTATCAACACAACCCTTAAAATTTCTAACCACCGTAATCGACAATCCTAGACATTGAGCGAAAAATAAAAACGAATAACGCATTCATACCCGGTTAACAACGCCCAACAACGAACGCTCAAATTCGATCCTATTTCAACGACGGTGCAGAAATCTTCAAAGACGATAAAGAACCGCTGGAACACTGAAGAGAACCTTCGAAAAATATTGTACACGATTTGATATAACGGCCAATGATCTCACGTAATTTTATTCCGTGATTTTAGGCAACGTATCAGCAAATCTCAAATCACGTAGTAAAGGAAATAAATGCCTTTTAAAAATAAAACAGGGGTATTAAAGGAAAATTATATAATATATTTTGCCAAGTTGGCAAAATTGGATCTATCTCAAAAAGGGGAAAAAAAATTGGATCTACCTCATTAGAAAATATGAACAAGAGGGTTATCCCTAATAAACCCTTTTCTTTATTAATGAGAGATTCATCCTTTTTTTATTCTCAAATTTACCCTTCATTTATTCACTACCTATTATACATTACTACGCCTTTTTTTTGTCATTTATTTATTTCATATTAATAAAAATAATATTTTTTTAAAAATATTATTTTTTTAAATTTTTTAATATATCTTTTTAAAATATTTTTTTACTATATTTTTTTCTTCAGTTAAAACAACTATATTTCATAAAACAACTATTATTAAAAACAACTATTATTAAAACAATTATGATTAAAACAACTATATATCTACAACAACTTTCATTTATCAAAATCAACTATTTGTTAAATCAACTATTTATCAAAATCAACTAAAAAGTAATAAAAACAACTATATTGTTGTACGAAACAACTATACTGTTGTACGAAAACAACTATATATCTGTACGAAAACAACTCTATATCTGTGAATAACACCAACACAATTCACCAAAAACAAACATCCATTATACTATTGATTGAACACAAAATTAGCCTTCAGTATAAGAATTCAACCAAAAACTCCAAGTAAGAAAAATGAGATTCGAGAATTGGGTTCCAAAAAAAAAAAATCAGAGAAGAACAACAACAACAATAAAACAATGTTATTAGCGGTGGTTTCTATTGAAATCTCATACGCAATATGAACCCTAGCGCCGCTGCATAGTCTCGTCATTCTCCCAGGCGAAAATCCTAACGCCGTCCTTGACGAGAGAATTCCAGGGTGAAGACCTCCTCCTTTTCGCGGCGGTGGAGGGAGCAACGCCGTTGAGAAGAGAGCAGACGGCGACACAAAGATGGAAGAGGGTTGGAGGTGGTGGCGGCGGTGGCGCAGAAATGGAAGAAGTTGGAGGCGACCGTTTGTAGAGAGAAAACAGAGAGGAGAATAAGAGAAATAGAGAGAACGTGAAATAGGTTTTGTTATTTTAAATATAACATAGAAGGGCAAATTAGATATATTAGTCATGTGAAAATACAATATTAATTAAAAAAAAATTATTTAATATAAGGTGGGGGGTTCTCACTAATAATGAAAATGAGGTTATATCCACCTTAATATAAGTAAATGAGTTGGGGTTTTTTTCACTAATTATCCCTTTTTAATATTATCATTTTATTTTATTTATTTCTATAATATTTTATATTATTATACATTATTTAAATAAAAATAATAAAAAAATAAAATAATGAAAAAGTGGTCACAAGTAGGTTCGTGAGCTCACTAAGACCAGTTCGAGCTCGGTTCGTCAGAAAGCTCGAGCTCGAAAAACTCGACTCCAAGTTTGAGCTTTTTCCGAGCTGGCTCATCAAGTTCACGAAATGGCTGCACAATTTGACACACATCTATGACAATTTGTATGTATAAAATAGGTGCAAAACTTCCTTCTCACATATGTTTCTTTCGTCGACAAAGAGTTTTACTCCGATCTCCTGCAACAACGGGGCATCCGGTGGAAAACTTTCCGGCGCTCAAACTAGAACGAAAGACTAATTGAGAGAAAGTAGAAGTAGAAGTAATTGTCAAGATGCTGAACTGAAAAAACCTCATTTACTGGTTAATATAAGGATAAAGCAAATTATAGCCTTAATTAATCTTAATAGTTTATTTTGAACCAATTAATCTTAATAGTTAATACTGACATACGGCCTGGTCACTTCATATTAGATACATCATTGACCAAATCCATAAGCAAATTGAACTAGATTTGCCCCTTTTCCCAAGAAAATGATGTGAACACGTCACCACAACTACGTGGCGGTGAGCTTAGCTGTCAAGTTGGTCATATATTAATGGGTTAATTAACCAGTATGAAGAGTTAATTAATAATTAGTACAGTACTAGTACAAAAAAATGTTAATTAGTGCAACATTAACTGTTAATAATATTAAAGTCTCACTCGGTCACTGCCACAAACCAATGCACCAGCTGTATCCAGATAAACTGCACCGCTTTTCCACTACTACCCTTTTTCACCATTTTTTATATAGTTTTATTCTATCCGACACTGGATAAAATACGCACACTAGTTCTTCGTTATTCATAGAACACACACACATGCACTTAAATAGATGTATTTAGATCAACGGTAAAAAGGCATTCAATATAACATTCACTGAACGTCATATGGATTTTCTCTTTATCCAAATTAATATTCCGTTGTGTTTTTTGTTCAAATTCAAATCAACTAGCCCAAGAGGGCGACAAATATGTTAAAAGTCAATTGCATATACGAAGTAGGCAGAGCCCAAAATTAGGCTTCGGTCCAATTAGACCAATCCCTAAACTTCACTTAAAGATAATTATTTAAAATTGAAAGAATAGTAACAAATTCTCACACCTTCATTCATAAATAACTTAACCACATTTATCGTTATAAGAAGGTATATTTACTCTCATATACTTAATTTTTTTTGAGAGGATATACCTAATTTCTGAAAAACATTAAATTATATTAACTTGTGATATTTGACATGACCGTCTCGGAGTGTAATCGTCGGAGAAATCCTGACATTTCACCTAGTGTTATACTGTGTTGTAGATGTTGGCCAACATGTAATCTCCTTTCGGTTAAATTACACGAATATTACTTTCATTCTCAGATTTATAGATTTGAAAAAAAATGCAATTTAAAAGAAAAAATTATATAAAAAAAAAATGAATCAGAGAGGAAGTGAAAATGTTTTTAAATCTAAAAATACATATTCGTTGTGAAAAAATAGCAAAAAAAAAAAAGAAAAATAATTGTGACAAATTATGAATATATTCAATTCAAATTTATTCTACTTTTGAAGTTGCCATAAATAATATTTAATTGTAGTAGAATAATCTTTATTTGGGCCCACCCAATCTGAGCTGTAAGCATGATGTAAGCGTAATTACCGCGCCACGCATGACGCTCCAGCTATAACCACGGAGTATTATTAAAACCTCACTCTCCCCCACTTTCTCTCTCTACTCTCTCTCTCTTAACCCCTGAGATGGAGCCATTACCACCGCCACCCTCCGCCACTCCTACCCCCACGGCCATCTCCCCTCGCCCGCCGATTCCCCCTTGCAAGCTCCGTCTGATGTGCAGCTACGGCGGCCACATAGTCCCCCGCCCCCACGACAAGTCTCTCTTCTACGCCGGCGGAGAGACTCGCATCGTCGCCGTGGACCGCCGCACCGCCGCCGCGTCCCTATCCGCACTCTCCGCCCACCTATCCCGCGCCATCTTCCAGAACCGTCCGTTCAATCTCAAGTACCAGCTCCCGGACGAAGACCTCGACTCCCTAATCTCCGTAATCGCCGACGAGGATCTCGCCATCATGCTGGAAGAGCACGATCGAATTACTCCGGCGGCACGAATCAGGTTGTTCCTCTTCCCCGTCAAGCCCGAGTCCGTCGGTTCCGCCCTGCTCGATCCGAAATCGGAGTCCTGGTTTTGCGACGCTTTGAAAGGTACGCGGATGCTGCAGAAGGGACAGTCCGCCGATTGTGGTCTGTTGATGGAAATCGGGTCGGATTTGGATACTCCGGTGGAGAGTGGGGATAACAGTGCCGGATCCGAGGGTAAATTGGGGGCTGAGTCGTTAATTTTGGAAACGAGTTCCTCATTCGGTTCGATTAGTTCGTCGTTTTCGATGTCTAATTCGTCGCCCATGCCCATTGGCATTGTCAATTTCGACGAGAAGGGATTGAATTTGAATTCGAATTCGAATTTGCTTGACGTAAAGATCAAGGTGCCATCATCAGCCTCTGTTGAAAGGTGTGCAATTGTTTTAAAAAAAAAATACCTATTCCCCCAATTCCAATTGCAATTTGTAGTTAATAACAAGCACAATTTGATAGCCAAGGTGATTTTTATTATGCATACTTTCTTTCAAGAAGATTTCTTACTGTGGACTTTTTTGATGTTGAGATCAGAGAAATCTGGATATTTCGTTGTGGTTGATTTTTTCTACACTTATGGCATAACACAATTGATATAGGATCACTTAAGTTACGAGGTAGAAGTAAATTCAACATGATCATATTTTACAAAATTTTAGTCATCTGAAAAATTATTTTTATCTTTGAATTTGCTGGAGAGTTGGGAGTATCCAATGTAATTCACTTCACTAGGATAGTGTAGTGGACTAATTAATCTTCTCTGACACCACATCATTGCAAAAAACGAGAAGCTGATCATTGAGCTGGTTGTTTATTGTTCGCAGTGAAATTAGTGTCGGAACTGTAGCCGCTGCACCTAAAACTGGGATTTTCCAAGAACCGCTAATCCAAGTCGATCCAGACCAATCAACAGAATACCCTGTTTCCGATCCTTCATTTAGTGTTATGAATCAGAAAACATCTCAGGTACTTGGATATCCTCTATCTCAGCTACCAGATGGAAACAAGCAACAACTCGAATCACAGTTCATTCAAGGGGGTCTGCAGTATGTACATCAATACGCGGGTCCCATGCCAATCTCGCCATACTATCCCATGTATCAAATGCCGATGCACCACCACCCACAGCATATTTCAGGCACACCAAATCAGCAATATCCCGTATATTTTATGCCTGTTCGACCGACTCAGTATTATAATATGCCGATGCCCTCTATCTCCTATGATGCAAATCATGCTAATGCATCAAGTCGACCCCCTTTGCATCCTCTGTCTCCAGTTATTGCTCAAACCGTGGACCATAAAGAGGTATTTGTAGGCCAAATAGCTGAATCAGGCAAAAAATTAGTTACTATGATACCTTTTAATCAAGATCAGCTAGTTGTGGGGCCCACGGAGGACCATATTGCCTCGGAACAGGTTACAAATGCTTCGGTGCTCTCTGCTGTTCAGGGCGGTGAATTTGACGAAGATATTGCATACAACCTAATATACAAAAGTCAGCCTTCACCGCCTTTATTGCCTTCTCAGTACCAAATGACGACAAAGGGAACACCCATGCTTTCAGAACCTTCAGTGCAGCTATTGCATCCTCAATGATTCCACTGAACGAGGATAAACTATTGTTGGTGTTCTCTCTTTCTCTCTCCGGTTTTTTAATGTTGGTCTGGAGTTGAAAAGCACTACGGATGAGCTTTTCAATTCTTGGTGGTGTCACTCTATGGAGGAGTGATCAAGATCTTGAGATTGATTGGTGAAAAATATGACGAAAGTATTAAGTCAATATTTTCGTTGTATTTTGAAGTTTGATTTAGTGAGATATATACATATAAGGTGTAGAAGTCAACTCGACTTTTTATACAATTTATTTATTCATTTGTTTTTTCCTCTACATTTTTTCTCTATGTTATCTTATGTACTGTTATACAAATGTACCAAGTTATGTGAAAACTGTGTCCAGTGAGAGAGCATAATGTTAATGATTTGTTACAATTATTTCTTAAGGCTGACTATTTGCCTTTTTTCTGTTATATTATACTTAAAGATTCTGGTTATGCAGTCTCAAAATTGAGTCATATAGTTTGAATTTACCGTTCGCATTCAGTGGAATCTATGTTTCAATGGTAGTTCTTGATTCTTGCGCGAAATTGGCATCAGAGATAATGCCTTTTCTCTTTTGATTTTGGCTTTGAGTCAGAATTTGCTTGTTTCCATGGTCTCTCTCACTCCCCTGGTTTCATATGACTTGCCGATAAGCACACAATCGATTTGACGTGCATCCGTACAAAACATCGGATTAACTGTAAGTCACTTTTTCGATTTAACTAACATGCAGCACTTGTCTCCGCAGTAATCCTCTAAACATGCGCGATTTACCAGCAAAGTATGAAGATCTTGCAATTGGACGAGGTACAACATATACTTACAAAAACATGGTTATTTATACTTTGCAACTCACTATTTTTTGTTGCTGAATATTGCAAACACGCAGTGTCGATTTTTTTCCAATCAAATTGAAAAAATGAAAAAACAATTTACAATCAACGAAAAAATTGACATTCTCACTGAACAAGAAATGATTTTGCACACAGGTTTTATACATTCTCCTCGACGCTCTTCCCACTGAAGAACTTTGCCAAATTGGGCATCACCTTCTTTCTCCTCCTCACAGTGAAAGAAGCCGATTTAGGAGTACCGACACCAACTGGAGATGCAGTGGATCTTCGACCATTCCCTCTTCTTGATGGTGCCGTTTTCTTAACGCTTCTACTCACGGCTTTGCTAGTAAGTGCATTCTCCATGTTCGTTTTTTCAGGTTCCGTTTTTAGCCTCCAGTTCTCAAAGCCGTCACCCTCGTCTATTTTCTTCTCATTTTGCTGAACAACCTCAACTCTCATCTCTCTACTTTCTCGTCGCAGGAGCTCGGATTTCATCTGTATCTCTCTCTCGCTCGCCTTTAAAGCTTCGACCCAAGCCCGAGCCGCTGCGACTTTCTTGTCCGCGATTTCCTGGGCCCCACCCGCATGCCCTCTCAGGTACTCGTACTCGAATTTGGAAATAGTTATTGTCGGGCTAGGCCTAGAAGCCGAAGCTCTGTTTCTCACCGTCTTTTCTATAACCGATTTAAGATTCTCCAGCGCTGTTGCTTCTGATGATTTGACCGCTTTCAGATCTTGCAGGGCGAGTTGTAATTGTTCGTCGGCCAAGTCTGTTTCGGTTTCTATTCTCTGTATGTCTGCTTTGATGACTGCAGTTTCTTCGCTGATGATGGACCGTTCTTTCTTGGCTGATTCGGCTTCTGATTTCAGCTGCTCCAGTGTGAGCTTTAGATTTGAGAAAATTGATTTCGATTTCTCCTCTGCTTCGGATGTTGCTTCGAGTTTTGATTTTGCTCTCATGAGCTTCGAGTTGAGATTCTGAATGTTCGTTTCTGTTTTCACTTCTCTCTTCCTTAGTTTAGCTGTTTGATGGGCTACGTGCCTGAGCTCGTTCCTCACAACATCCATCGACGCCATAAACTGGAAGCTTTCTTCTTTAATCGAAGCCAATTCCTTCCTTTTCGCCTCCAACTCTTCCGTTACGGGATCTGACAAAGACTCGCCCGTGTATTTCACAATTTCGTTTCTTTCCACTCCCTTGACCATTTCCTTGACTTGCTTCAGTTCACTCTCTAACATATCAACATCCGACGTTGTAATAGCGAGTTTTGTCTCCAGCTCTTTCACGTACTCGATTTCTTGAACAATGCTCTCTTTTTTCTTCATAGCTTCCTCTACTGCAGCAGAGTGTATCTTCGCCTTTTCTCTTCTCTCAGCTTCAATTTCTTCATACTCTTTAATGGCCTCGATTCGTGCCAACTCAACCAGCACATGCTCTTCGTTGATTTCTTCGAGCTCCTTATCGAGCGCTTCGACTGAATTCAAATCCAACTCTGTTTTCGACAAAGAGGAGTCTATATCTTTCTCCGCCCGTTTCTTTTCTTCCAAAACAGAAGCCATATCCAGCTTAAGCTTGCTGAGTTCTCGTTTTATCGACTCCAATTCTTTCAGCACTTTCGCGCAGTGAGAATTTCCATCGACCCATTCTTCTTCTTCCTCCATTCTCTTTTTACCCTGTGCTTTCGCTCGTGAATTTGATTCTTCGATTCTCAGAGTTAGATCTTTCACCGTCTTCTTCGCAGACGATAGCTCGGATTTCGCCTCGGCTGTCGATAATTCTGCAAGTTTGATGCTCTCGTTCAAGTGGCCGGTATCTCTCTTTACCTGATGAAGCTCTCTTGTCTTCGTGTAAGGCTTCTGCAGAAAAAAAAAAGGTACAGTGATTCTTTTCAGTTAATGAAACAGAGCATTGTCTAAATCTTTTTCAAGAAATGAAAATTAATTACCTCGGGATTGTAATTTGTCTGGAATCTGTTCTTGATTGTGGGGTTGTTGTTGTTGTTGTTGTCTTCAAGAATCTTCTGTCCGAATGAACTTATAGCTGCTTTAACTGTACCGGATTTCCTCTCACCCAACTTGCTTCTATCCATGATATCCCTCTTTACCAAACTTTTCGGTTTTTTTTTTTTTAATATATTTATTATTAATATGAAATTGTTTGAAAAGAAATTAAATTTGAAATGAAGAACTGAAATTTGACATACCTGAAAATTTAAGCAGGAAATTTTGTGGTGTGTCTGAATACCAGATCCTCCAAGTTTTATGAAGTGTGATTTTGTAGTAGAGGGAAAGACAGATATAGTGGTGGTGATTGGCTGTTATTGGTTGCATCACCAGCCGTTGGAATTTTCCCTAGTGGACCCCACTTGCAAACTAATACTCTCTCTCTCTCTCTCTCTCTAGTTTTTATTTATTTATTTTATTTATTTAAATAAATAACATTGTATCTCTATTTGGAAGGTAAGATAAAGAGTGAATTCCAACTACCAAATTTATCCAAAAAAAAAAAGTTGTGTTCAATCCCATCTTTTTTATCACCGGGTTTTATCTTTAATGAGTGTCTTGATTGGGTTCCTTTTCTTCTTTTAATCCCTGTCGACGAAGGGTGGAAATCGAAACAATTTTTTCGATTCGCCGATTTTGATTTCAATCTTTTTTTTTTTCATTTTGATTTATGAAATTTCATTTTTTTAGTTTTTTGAATTGAAAATAGAATTATATGTGTGATCTGGAATTCTTTATTCGATTTTAATTTACGAAAATAATTCCAAAAATCCAATGTTTCGAAAATTTTATCTGTAATGTCAATATTTTCATGTATTATACGTGGATATATATATATATATATATATATATATATATATATATATATATATATATATATATATATATATATATATATATATTATTTTATTTTTCAAAACAATTTTTTTCTTGTGGATTTCGATTTGTGAATGAGTATTGCATGCAACACAACAAGAGAATGACAAATATATGTTATTTTGTCACGTGAAGCACAAACACAATAATCCTTTTGTGATTGGATATTATTTACCAAATTACCAATGCATGAATCCAAAGGTTGTGTCTATGCCACGTGACTGAATTCTTAACCATTCGCCACAAGAATACGCCTTGTCCTAGTTGGGACGGTGATCCATGATTTTAATCCTACATTTTCACCCATGTGGAAATTGGATCTATTGAATTGAAATTAGGATTTTTGAAGGACTATTAATTTTTATGAAGAGAAAAAATTAATTCTAATTTCGTTTTTTTTTTAAATTGAAGAATTGGAAAAGAAAAAAAAAATCGGAAATTAGGATAAAGGTTGCTCCAAATTATATTTAGTACACATATAACTTATAATACAAGATACATAATATTGATATTATAAATATAATTTCCAAAAAAACCGGGTTGGAAATTAGAATTTCATATATATCAACTCCGTTCAATGTTTTTTCTTTTTTTGAAAACTTTGAAAAATCAAAATTTTGAAACTCTAAGTGAAAAATATTGTTTTAAAAAAAAAAGGATTTGTAGTTGCCAAAATCGGAAATTTCATTCCAATTCAATACATAGTTGTGAGATTTATTACGGGTTGCATCGAATGTTGAACAAAATAAGTGGCAAAACCTCCTTTCATTCGAGGAGTGGAAGTCAACAAATCGCCATTTTGCGATCTGCAAAATTGCTCGCTATTTTTGAGATCTTTCAATTTAGTTGTGGGGAAACCTTACCCTGAACATAACGGGGGAAGAAGATATTCGAAGAGGTAATGAACGTCTACTTCTTCGACGTGCTCCGTTTCACTTAAATAAACCGAGGGTTTATTATAAACCGATATATAATAAAGATAAATATTTTTTCTCCAAAGTCACAATAACTAATTCCATGTTCAAAATTATCAGAACTTAAAAATTCATTCCAAAATTTGTGAAAATTCGATCCGATCAACCAGACTTTCATCCCTGTGATGAATGATATTCTAAATTATTTTAGGGTAAATTACAACCACCACCTGAGGTATGGTCAATTTACGAAAAAACCCCTCTTGTTTGGATAATTACATCTACTCCCTCAACTATGATTTTTTCTTACACCTCCACCCTTGTAGTGTTAAATTCAACATAATCAGCTAGATTCGTGGAATGTGCTCTAGTTTGTATTCGTTTTGTGTGAAAATACAATTTCTGATGAACCACAATCTGATATATACAAACCAAAAAACACATCTTATGATCATCTTGCTTCAAAATGTAGTGTTTCGAATGGGATAAAACGAGTACAAAAGTGATAATATTTCGTATAATCTCGAAAATTCCAGTAAATTTGAAACCGCAGGGGTTATTGTAATTACCCAAACAAGATGGGGTTTTCGTAATATGACCATACCTCAGGGGTTGTTGTAATTTACCTATTATTTTATTGAAGTTGGAGCTTAATTTCCCTTATAACTTGCTTAAATTGTAGATCTAATATTCTTTCCAGAACATAAAATCAAAAGATTGAACACCACTATTGCAACACTTCGCGCAGTACGTGACCACACTTCCTCCTGTTTCATATAAAGTCCCAAAACACTCTTTCCCCATTTTTTATGCTATTAAAAAAGACAAATAAATAAATAAAATAAAAAATAGAAAAAAAAAGGAAAATTGAAAATTCTGAAACTGAGCTCTGACCAAATTCCGTACCCTCAATTTCTCAACAGATCTCACCTTGAGCTCAGCACCGGAAAAAAAATGTGGCGGGATTCGCCACAGGCGTAGCGTAGGATTTAAGCCGACACGGCGGCGTTTCGAATTGAGGCCGGCGAGTTCCTAAAAATGGACGTCGAGAGATCGTCGCTCTGCAATTGCGTGGTTAATTTCTTACTGGAGGAGAATTACTTGTTATCGGCGTTCGAGCTTCTCCACGAGCTCCTCGACGATGGCCGCGACAATCAGGCTATTCGCCTCAAACAATTCTTCTCCGATCCGACTCATTTTCCTCCCGATCAGATCTCCCGCTTCAACTCTCTACGAGGTTATTCTCTATGCATGAAACTAGTGTCGGTGCGGGTGTTTAATCGTTTATTTTGTTGTTTCTGCTGTGCATTTTTATTCGGTGGGTGAAATTGTGGTGCAATTTGCGGTATTATAGGCTTCGTCTGAATTTGTTTTGTTGTGAGCTGTTTTAACTTGTTCCATTTGAGTTTTTCAGTGACTCTGCGATTTTTTTTGTCAACTTTGTCACTTGCAACTAATCCAAGAGATTGAAACAGAACTCTCTGATTCTGTTTTTGCTGATCAGTTTACTGTATAATGTGTTGAAGCTTTCCGTATTAACCGTGTGGATAATATTTCACAGAACATAGAATCTGAAAAATAGTGAAATACTGTCTTATAAATCCTTCCTGTTGTTAGACAGTATCATATACTGATTAGTATTGCAGTTTAGATCGAATTAGACATTAGTTAATGTGAATGATCTAAAAAATCGGATTTCTAATTGTCAAATTCATCGTGTAGGGGATGATATGTGAAATAGTGGAAGGTTATTGGAATGTATCATTGATTAAATTATGAGTATTATCGAAGCCCCTAAACTTATAATATCAGAGTTGTGAATTTGTGCATATTGCATCAAACACAGTTCTAATGTATCAGAATTGTGAATTTGTTAATATAGAATTTTAGGTGCTGATGTATTTTTTTCTCCGTATAACTTTTATTTGATAACAAATAATTGAAGGCAGTTTCCATTACTGGCTGATATCTTTTCTTTGCATATTTAGTATCTGCAACCAGTTTTTCTAGAAAGTAGTTAAAAGTGATAAATGAGGAAAGTTTCATTTTAATTCTCGCTGACCTCTCCATCTATTCTGGATCACTGTTAAAAATTGTTTAATGATTAGGGGAAACAATAACTATTCATAAATAAAGTGTAACACCTTAGAGGCGATTGTCCTCTAAACATTTATAAAGGCAATTATCTTCATTTTACATCACAAAACATAATGCAATTGGTGCTCATCTGTATATTTCACTTTGTAGTAAGGTCCGATTTCATGTTTTATCGGAGGTTCATTCGCAAGGAATGTAAACTTATTTCCTATCTCTTGTATTCTTTATGGGAACAGTGGCAGACCCTCAGAGTCTGTTTGAAGAAAAGGAATCTTTGGAAGAGAAATTGGCTGTCCGTGAATATGAGCTGCGTTTAGCTCAGGAAGACATTCTCAACCTCAAGGCTGAGCTGCTTAAGAAAACCGAGAGCAATGTCGAAGAATCAACTGGTAATGTTTTCAACTGTATTTACATGGTATTCGACATAATATAACATTGTGCACATAAGAAAACTAGCTTCATTTTCCTTTCAGTTTCTGTGAAATGAATATTGAGTTAGATTATCAACGCAGCAACTATATTTTGTAAATTTGTTGTATCTAATGGTAAAATGTGCAGCCATTCCTGTTGTTTTCTCATGAATTTCTTTGTTCAGGGCTAAATGCTGTTACCAATGCAAATAATGGACCAGTTGTTCAACCTTTAAAGCGGGAGGACATATCTTTTTCGGATTTGGGTCCTCTGAAGGACAATGAACGATTGGATATCAACTGTGCAGTGAAGGAGTATCTACTACTAGCAGGATACCGTTTAACTGCAATGACATTTTATGAGGAGGTACTTCAATGGAAGTCTCTCAATTAATTTCTTATTATTGGTTTCAAGTGACTTTTGTAGTCTGTTTTGTATACAGCCTCCCCGGAGAGGTTGTGTCTGATTTTCTAATGGCTTTCCAGAACCAAATGTAATCAGGTGCATTCTTGTTGGTAATTAGCAGTGAAAGAATTCTCCTTTTCTTAGAAAAATGAAATGAAATGAAATGAAATGTAATTTGGACTAGTACTGATCCCTCCAAATATTAAGGAGTAGCGGATAAGATCACATAAATCACTGAACTTTACTTTTTCAGCAAGTACGAGACTTGAGATAGAATACTGATTCCTCGTATCCCGGGGCATTTTTTTTCTTAATGATGGTTTCAAGTATCCTAAGTTAAATCCGTAGTACTTTCTATTTCGTAGTCTTGGTGGACTGTTAATCATCAAGCAGATAAGTCAGTATGTGGTGGGGTCCATTCTTCTTGCAGTCATCAATATGATCAAATAATTCACAAAATGGCCTAGTTAGTTTTTAAGAAAAAGATTAGTTTAGAAAAATATATCTTGTCCTTTATTTCCTTTTCATTAGCTGTTTCACTTATATATGCTTATAGATATATATCCACTAAATAACCTTATGTTACCTGTACAACAGGTCACTGACCAGAACTTGGATGTATGGGAAAATTCATCTGCATGTGTACCAGATGCGTTGCGACATTACTATTACCAATTTCTTTCTTCCACTGCAGAAGCCGCTGAGGTACTTCCTGAATTGTAACGGGGTTGTGAATTTATTACCTGTTACTTAACCTGCAAAATAGATGAACCAGATAAAAATAAATAAACTGATGCAATTTGTATCCATGTCCCATGATTGAATATCAAATGTCCATTCTACTTTCTTGATTTTTTCTGAGTTCTGCCCGACTTGTCTATGACCCTCTTCTTATATATCCCAAAAAATAAATAATATCTTGTTTACAAACAGTCTACAATTATATAACTCACATCCATTGACAATCAACTTTTAATTTTGAAGAGTTGAAGTTTTCGATTGTTAGATCCTGAAAACGATGAAAGAAAAACTTGATCTTATTAAATTTTCTCTGTTACTTTTACTATCATGGATTATCATGTTTTTTTTTTTTTTTTTATCAAGATATTAGCAAACATGTTTGATGGATCGCCAATGATACCGGATTTAAAATCGTATTGTGGTCGGAAAGGGTTTGAGAGTAGTTAGAGAGTATTGTTTTATTTAATCTGATCTTGTAAGAACCATGATGAAACAGCGGCATTTAATCATGTCAATTATATATGTGATGTATTTCTGAGTTTCTGTTTTTTTCTAATGAGTACCTGAGAAACTTGTTGGTGGATGGAAATTTTCTTTGCTTGTCAACAATATTTTTTTCTTGAATTCTCATGTTGGTATTTTTCCTTATGCTGCAGGAGAAAATAGCAATGCAGCGGCAAAATGAGTCTTTATTAAAAGAAACTGACAGACTGAAAAGTAACGGACAATCCTTGATTAAAAGCAAAGAAATCTCAGAAGCACAAGTCATTGCACTGACAAGATCTTTGGAGGTGCTTCAGAAAGATATTAAGGACAAAGAAAAGATGGTTATTATCTAATCAGATCCTCTGTGATGTTTGTGTTTTTCTTCAATTTATTTATAAAATTTAATGTAAGAATGTCTTTCAGGTCCAAGGTTTGAAGAAGACATTAGAAAGCGAAAGAAAAAATCTAAATGATTGTAGAGCTGAAATAACTTCACTGAAAATGCATATTGAAGGTTCTCGATCTGGAAAAATTGTTTTTCCAACAGATTCTGCACTTGTGCAAGAAAATGGGGATATAAGAGATCTTTCAGAGGAAGTGGATATGTTGAAAGCCAAAACTAGTGAGTCAGTGAAGAGAGAGGAAGGGAATGAAGGGGAAATAGACGAAGTTGAAGAGTCACAAGTAAATGATGATGCATCGTCATTAGTTGTTGGTTCATTGGCCGATCTAGTGACTGCAGATTCTGGGATCATGGAGAAACAGCTTTCCAGTGATACAACCAGCATATCTGAGAAAGTGCCAGAAGACTTGCTAACTTCTTTGAGTGTAATTGGGTTTGCTGTGAGTGAGAATCTTTACAAGGACAATGGAAAACCTTCTCCAGATTCTGATAGCCTAATTATAAAGTCGGACATTCTTAATGCTGAGTTAAATACTGAAAAGATGGTAAGTTCTTGAGACTTTTTTTCCCTCTTCTCTTTCTTTTCTTCATCGGGCTAACATTGAAAAATATTTTATACTTGTCAGGGTGTCGGAACAATTCAGATACTTTCAGATGCACTTCCTAAAATTGTACCTTATGTTCTAATCAATCATCGAGAGGTTTGACAATCTATTGGGCAGTGTATTACTTCAAAAGCTTTAATTACTAGGCTAAAAGTCAATTCATCAGTATATCTGTATATTTACTTCTGGATTTTTTTTTCTTTTCACGAATTTTATTGGAGTTCATCTCTTGTAGGAGCTCCTTCCTCTAATTATGTGTGCAATTGAGCGCCATCCTGATGGTGCCACTCGAGATTCATTAACCCACACATTGTTTAATCTAATAAAGCGCCCAGATGAAAAGCAGAGACGAATTATAATGGATGTAAGACCCTAAAATTGAAGCAGTTTCAGTTTACTAAGTTTGCACTTCGCGCTCATGAATCCGTTTGATCATTTCAGGCTTGTGTAACTCTTGCAAAAAATGTAGGAGAGTTGAGAACAGAAACAGAATTGCTGCCCCAGTGTTGGGAACAAGTAAGAAGGATCCAACTCGTTTTTTTTCTTTGGTTTAAGGAGCCAGATATTTCGTCTGAATGATGGCTTTATTACTTGTAGGTTAATCACATGTACGAGGAGCGTAGGCTGCTTGTTGCTCAATCATGCGGCGAGCTTGCAGAATTCGTCAGGCCGGAGATACGCGATTCACTTATATTGTCCATTGTGCAGCAGCTCATTGAGGATTCTGCTACAGTTGTGAGGGAGGCTGCTGCTCATAACCTGGCTTTGTTGCTCGCTCTCTTCCCAAATACGGACAAATATTTCAAGGTCAGCCTCATTATACATGCTTCGAGGCAATCACGGAGAAGATATCTGACTTGACAGTTGGCTACAATGTAAGCTCCGTGATCTAGAGAATGGAGCATTTCCCATGATTAAAATATGACCTGCCTGAAATAAAATTAAAAACATAAATAAAATAAAAACAAAATAATTATTTCACCAAAACTTTCTCTTGTTTTTTGATAGGTTGAGGAGATGATGTTTCAATTGGTTTGTGATCCCTCTGGTGTAGTCGGTGAAACTACAATGAAGGATTTGATTCCTGCTCTATTGAATTGGGGAAACAAGTTGGATCATATTCTACAAGTTCTGCTCTCACATGTCGTGGGGTCTGTTCAGGTATTGTACTGCATACGTTTTGCCATTACGATTTTTCTGTTAGTCGATTTCATGCTTCCGATGTTTATCTGATATATTGTCTCTTCCAGCGTTGTCCACCCCTTTCAGGGGTTGAAGGTTCCGTTGAGTCACATCTTCATGTTTTAGGTGAAAGAGAACGTTGGAATGTTGATGTTCTTTTGCGTCTGCTTGCTGCACTGCTTTCATTTGTGCACCAGAAAGCTGTTGAGACTTGTCCATTTTCCTCGTTAGACTCTACTCGAATACCTCTGTCGTTGCTTGAACAATATGCAGGGTAAGGTTTGCTACTCAGTGCTTCTCCAATATCTTCTTCCTCTATGGGCTTTTATGTGAATCAAAGTTCTGTTGTTAGTTCTGCAATGTTAGTGGTTGGCTTTAGTAGTTACAGAGTAACATTAATTGCGCAGGGAGGATATGGAATGGCCTGCCTTTGAGTGGTTGCACATTGAGTGCTTCCCTACTTTGATTCAATTGTCCTCTTTATTGCCTCAGAAGGAAGACAATTTAAGAAACCGTGTAACAAAGGTATATTTTTTTTTTTTGCTTTAGTCTTCACAGAATGCCCATGATTCCTTGTCTCACTGTCTTTAGTTTTTTTTTTTTCGTTTGTTAAATATTTGAAGTTTTGGACTATGAAATGCAGTTTTTGCTAGCGGTGGCTGACCTATTTGGGGAAGCATATTTGACACACATCATGCTGCCGGTGTTTTCAGTAGCTGTCGGAGAAAATGCTGATTTCAAATTCTTCCCATTCAAAGCCCAGTCAAAGATTCGAGGCAATGAATCTCTAAAAAACTTATACTTTCATTTATTAGTGCTTGCTGCAATTTTTCCTATAATGAAGCAATGAGTCTTTAAATGTTTCTTCTTGGTTATTGAGTAATTGCTGCTATTTGTCTTAGAAGTATCGTGTTTCTGTTTTCAGGTTTGAGGCCTCAATCTATAGTGGCTCAGAGGCTTGCTACAATGTGTGTCCTTCCACTTCTCCTAGCAGGCATATTAGGACACCCAAGCAAGCGTGAGAACTTGATGGAATACTTGAGGAATCTGCTGATTCAAAATGCTGGACAGGACAGTCAGTCAGCAAAACATGAGATTATTGGTTGCGTCCGCTTTATATGGTTAATTTCTGCAGAAACAATTTCAAATTACTCCGCAATAATTGATTATTCTTCCTTTCTTGATTTGTGGAACTTCTGTGGTGCAGTACATACGAGGAAAACCACAACATTATATTTAACATCCTGTGGGAAATGATTGCGAGTTCTGATGTAAATTTGCAAATCAACGCTGCCAACATTCTGAAAGTCATCGTGAGGCTTTTTCTTTTTTTTTTTTTTCTTTTTCAATTTGTGAAAGATATGTCATTTTGTTTTAATTTGTTGCTGGCCTCAGAATTATATGATACTTGTATGTAGGTACCATATGTTGATGCAAAGGTTGCCTCAGCTCACGTTTTACCCGCTCTCGTGACTCTTGGCTCTGACCAAAACCTGAACGTAAAATACGCAAGCATCGATGCTTTTGGTGCTATAGCTCAACATTTTAAGAATGAAATGGTATATATTTATCGAATAATGTTTGTGCTGACATTATTATGCAGCAGTTTTGGTGCAATTGACTGACTAAAGTTTATTTCTAGATCGTTGACAAGATACGCATTCAGATGGATGCCTTTCTCGAAGATGGATCGCATGAAGCTACAATTGCTGTGGTTCGGGCATTGTTGGTAGCTGTGCCACATACAACCGATAAGCTGCGAGATTATATCCTTCACACTTAATCTTGGGCAGATTGTCTATTTTCCTTTTTCAATAACGAGTAGTATTTTCGTTGTGCTCATTTATCTCGAGCACATTAATTCTATTTTCCTTTTCAATGTGCATGATTTTCCCTTAACTTTTCGCACATCTCATGTCGAAGATTTTTCATTTCACTTCATCGGCATCCCCAAGTGATATAACACGTCGGAGAGAAAGAGCTAATGCTTTCTGTGAATCAATTCGTGCACTTGACGCAACAGGTCTGCTTCTTAAGCTTCCTTAATCACTTTCTTATTCCCTCTATATATTAAACTGTTAAACATGCAAAATATGTAAAAGAAAAACGTGCATTCAGTCATACATCCATTTAACATAGGTTATTCGTTTTTTCGTTCATATGCAGAGGCTAATTTCATTCAGGCATATGTCTACTCATCTGTATACTCTTTGAAATTCCCTTAATTTTTCTCATAACTTTCACAGTTGACGAAAAATGCATTTCCACGTGCCATTTATTCCCCGAAAAATTGCAATTTTATACTGTATAAATCTGGTTAACATTATTGATAAATTAAAATATCTATATTCACAGACCTTCCAGCATCCAGCGTAAGAGATTTCCTCATCCCAGAAATACAAAAATCTATTGAAAGACAGCGATGCACTCGATCCAGCTCAAAAAGAAGCACTAGAAATAAATAATTAAAGAAAGATCGGGTGGAGCATTTGATGCTATTAGTAAGGTGATGGGTGCCCATCTCGGAATTGCCTCTTCGGTTAGCAGCTTTTTCGGTGAAAGGAAAAAGGAGAGCGGAGATTCACCTTCAGAGGCGGTTGTTTCCCCCAAAGCCGCTGCACAACCGCCAGTGGAGGACACCAGATTTAGACGGATAATGAGGGGCGGCTTCTCTGATATGCTCCGTGGCAGAAATAAGAGCAGTGAGGAAGTTCAACCAAGTGAATGATTGAACCGAGAGTTTTTGTTTTCGTCCCAAAAAAAAAACACGAAAAACCACCATACGTATAACGCACTATTTATTTTTTTTCCCTCCATAAAAATATTTGAATGTTCGGTTTTGTTTATTAGATAATGTGTATTAGTCTTTTATTTTACCAATAATTACCATGTGCCGATTAATTATCAAGAGAGAGCTTATATTTCATCCATTACAATTTCAAATAAAGCATCACTTCAAAGAATTCTTTTTGTTTTACATTATAATTTTAGATTTCCAATAATGCATTTATTATAATTTTCTCAATTTTGCCCTTATGCTCCTAATTAATGGAGATACAATTATTAAATAGAGAAATAATATAAGAAATAATCATTAACGTTAACTAGAATAATTATTAACTTAACTAGAAATAATTTTATACATAGGTTTACCTTAATTAGGGATTTCGAGTTATATAAGGATTACTTACTCCTAATTAAAATCTGTTAAGGAAAATTTCAATTTAAACCAGAATTTTCAGTTTTAATTCCAAATAGGATTTGACCTCTTCGTATTATATTAGTATAAATAAGCCCCCTAGGCCCTAATATTTAAGAATTTATATTATTCAACGAGATTAATTATCAGAGAGAATTAATTAACATGGAGAACATAGCCAATCATCTTCAGACACGTGAAGAGAAAAACCCTACTGCAGAATTACATAAACCACCAGTTGAACCAAAAGATCAGCAGCAGCAGCAGCAGCAGCCGATTATATCGAAAAGCAAGAACAACAATCCGGTGACGATAAAACGACAGCCCGCTAACAGTAATCTCCGTGACAGCAGCAAAGGGCCAGCTGTCACCTTTGGCGGCAGCGATTACGGGAAGCAGTTGTTTGATGATGTGAAGAAGGAGCAAGCGTACAATAGACAGAGCACGTGGGGAACTCCAGGGGGGCACGTGGGGGCAACTCTTAGAAGTAATAATAATACTTATTTTCCGACGCCGAAAGATGATCAGAGTACTTCTTCCGATCCTCTGCCGTATTCATTCGGTAAACGGGTTGTGTTTTCTAAGTCGGATCTTGATTTGGACTTCTTTGATAATTGATTATTTAGTTATATACTTATATAAGTGTAGCTTTTGGTAGAAAAAGAGAATCTTTTTTTTTTTTGCAGACATTGATGCCTATATTGACCTACGTCTGTTCGTGGGGTTTTTTTTTCTTGAATATACATATGATTTTTTTCTAGGGTTTTTCTTCGATATATTATTTGATCGAGGGTTTTGTTTATTTAATATATTCCCGTAATGTTGGTCACTTGGTCTTAATAAAATAGAAAATAAATAATGTAAATTTTCCAACATAAAGGAAACAACAGTAAAAGAATATAATGAAAAATTGAAAATTAAACCAAGGTCTCGGTATGGGGTTCGGGGGCAGTGTCCCCGCCTCCGAAAAATAATATAGGACCCTTTTTTTTTCTTTAAAAAACAAAAAAATAGGAAAAGCAAAAGGAAAAGAAAATTTTTGAGGGCCTCTTTTTGCATTAATTTGAAATTTGGGTGGACTAAATAATAAAAATTATGTGGACTAAATAAATATACATATATAATATGAAGGACTCTTTTACAATTTAGGGGGGCATGAGTCCGCCAGTGGACGCACCGTGTTATTCGCGGTTTGCAATGGCCAATGCCCATAGCAAACGAAATTGCAACTCCCATTACCAGTTAGAAAAATATAACAAAAATAAGTGACCAAATTTAAATTTCAGAAACCATAAATCTGGGGTTCAAATGAAATTTTCTAAAACTTCAATTTTCTTTTCTGATCACCCCTGAAGCCGAATTACAGCTTCGATCGAGACACAATTTTTTTCTTTGTCTGTGGCAGGCGGCTAACAGTGGTGACAACGGCGGCGCAGCCGCAATCCCACTCTAGATTTCCTGCCATTGCAAAAAAATACACACGATAATCCAAGAAACACTCACTAAACACTATACTATAGAGAGGTGTTTATATAATAATGCAGACTAGTGTTCAATTATTTTCAGTTCATTCTACAAATTGGCCATGCATAAGCTAAAATTTTGTACCATGTAGGGCCGATTCTGAGGGGAGACGTTCGATTTTTTCGAAAATTTAAGGCCCCCCAAATATTTTAATATACACTTCATATATTAATTAGTACTTATTTTTTTTAAAATTTATAGTATGTAATATTTTGGAACATCTCAATTCTCTAATATATATATATATATATATATATATATATATATATATATATATGAATGTTTCCACCATGAGATCATGTGTTATAAACTTATATGAGATACCCCTTCAAATTGCGACATGTATCCCAGCAAAAAAACCTATTTTTTCTTCATTTATGTATTGTCGCAAATACCCTTTGTACAATAATTATTTTAAAAAAATCGGCAATTATAAATTATTAATGAAATGTCAATTTTACCCTCTCTATTTTAATGCAATTTTAAATCTATATTTATTGCTGAATTAAAATTTATAAAATCAATTATAACATTATTCATAAAAATCATTAAACCACCCATCCAAAATTGGGCCAACCTGAATTCAAACTTGTGACCATCTGAAAACATAGAGAATACTTACCATTAAGACACAACACATAATTGACAATAAACTAACAATACGGATATATATCACAAAGCTAAAATTTATAATGGTTATAAAACTTATATAATTAATGTTAAATAAATTATTAATTCTCATATAATTATTATTATATATTAATAATATCCCATACTAACAAATCTTTATATAATATATTTTAAAAATCTAAGGAAATGCTGATATCAACTCGTGTAATTTAAAAATGAATTTCAAAAGAATTTGAAGTTTGAATTGAATCGTAAATTGTAAGATTTAATTAAATCGTAATATTTGAATCAATTAAACTCATGTGTTTTCAATTCAAAAACAATATTCAAAGATTTGATCGATTAAGCTCAACTCATTTCAATTCGTAGACAATATTCAAATATTTGAATCGGTTAAACTCAATAATTTACAATAGCGTATTAATCAGACTATGTATAGTTAAAGTTAAGTATCTTTTTTTATTGAATATTATCATAAAAAATAATAAAATTTAATTCGTAAAAATCGTAAGATTTAATCGGTTCATGGTTAGATTAAATCTTACGATTTACGATTTGATTCTTACGATTTTACGAATTAAATTATTATTTTTTTTGTTAAAATTGAATTAAAAGGATAGTAGACTTTAATTATAAATAGTTAACTCGATTAATACATTCTTGTCAGTGGTTGAACTTAATCGATTCAAAATTTTGAATAAAATTTACAAATTGAAAGGATTTGCGCTTAATTGATTCAAATCATACGCTTTAATTAATCTTATGATTTGATTCTTACGTAATTTAGGAATTATTTTTTTATGATAAAATTGAATTAAAAATGTATTACACTTTAATTAATAATAGTTAATTTGATTAAGACGTTCTTGTCAATATACAGTTGAGCGCGCTAATTAATTGATTCAAATATTTGAATAATGTTTACAAATTGAAAGAACTTGAGCTTAATTGGTTCAATTATTACGCTTTGATAAAATATTATGATTTTACGATTAGGTTCTTACATGTGTTAGGAATTAAATTTATTATATTTTATGACAAAATTAAATTAAAAAGATATTAGACATTACTTATAAATAGTTAAATCAATTATGTCACACGTTATGTCAATAGTT